CCCCCCATGAAGATTCCTGCTATTCATTTCTGTTAGAGGCTGATTCGACCCCAGGACCATAGTGAAACTGGAAGGATTATGTAAATTAAAAAAATCCACCTCATAGGGACTCGAACCTGCGACCTTCCGTCTTGTAGCATAGTGCCTCAACCAACTACGCTACCATGTGTCATCCCCCTTGTACCGAGTAGTTAAGTGTACGCTGAAGATTATTCTGTATTGGAAACTGACGTCGTACAGTCCGGTAGAAATTTACCAACGTTTCGGAGGAAAGTACAACCTGTACTTTCAAGTTAAAGTAAGTTTCTTTGCTCGCTGTTTTTGCAGCCTGTGGCTGGTTACCTGCATGTTAAAGATGTAAGTAATAATTTCCTCCGAAACGTCCACGAACTTCTACCAGACTACGCTGTGTCACATGCGAGAAAATAACCTCCTCAGACACAGGAAGGTGAATGTACGGTGTTTATATGAAACGAAGGAAAGCAAATGAATCAGGCATACAAAGCGCGGACGGTGTCTGAACAGACAGAAGCAGAATGATTGAAATGAAATGAGGCATGACAGCAAAGAAAGACAACACAAAAAGCTTTTTGCAGAGAACACAATGGAAATCATACGCCAGAGCACTCAAAACGAAGGCAAGATTAAAAGACAATAATTGGAGTGAACGCGTAAAAGTTGAGAAAGAAAAGAAAAAAAGAATACTGAAATTTACAGGAAAATAAGTTAACGTTTTTTTTATTATTATTTGTGGCTTGGCAACATTATAATGACGTTCTAACAAAATAGGCCATGGCACTGGGAGCATTATCTTAGATTAAATTGTGAAGTTCACACAAGGACGTGTTGCGATAAATACGTAACAACAACACATCGACGTAACTCCGGAACCGAAAATTTTACTGGTCTGTCCTACTTCTAAACAAGTTTGGAATATTATGCATTACGCAATAATTATGGTCTATTCTCTCTGATATCTTTCTGTTGTTTATTTAACGACGATATCAATATCTCACATTATACGAGGTCTGCCAATAAAGTTCGCGAACTCACCACCGTGTGTTTGCTGTGGCAGCAGTGGACAGAAACCTCAGCATGGTTTGAAGACGTTGGCATATCAGCATTTCACAGCTGTGTTGTTGTTGATCTATGGCAGTCTCTTTCTGAATGGCGTCTATTATTGTCTGAGTGTTTTGGTGTTATGGCACAAGAATATCGGAGACTGACGGACTGTCAGTCGCCCTGTGACTTGGACTTGGACTTGGATTCAGAGTAGTGTGTGATTAGTACTGAGTACTGAGTATTGAGCCGGTTACTAGAGAAAGAGTAACCAGTTAATTGCAGTCTAGTATTTGTCATACTGTCGATGGCAGTAATTGTCAGATTGTAAAATGTGTGATTGTAAGCGAGTGTTCAATAAATTCGCTATATCAAATACGGCGTGAAGTTACTTGTCGCGTGACATATACCCAACACGTGACAATATCCTGTCTTGTAAGTGTCGTATAAGAGTGTACGAGCAAGGATCTTCAGTACAGAATGTGACCGAAGTCAGTGCAGTGGTTCCTTAATTACGAAAGGATTGGATGCAAATCTTTTTGTTTAATTATTTCGGAAGTCTTCAGACGTGCCGAAAACGTGCATTCGGTATCAAATATGTTCCACTTTCTTTACGACGTTTGTTCGAAACATTTTTACTCCGATAAATATTTAGAAATTTGTTCTGTGAGAAGAAACGAATATATTTACGTGTAAAGTATTTGTTTTTGTTGTCCGATTTTTGCAGCAAAATTCGAATACCCCCACAGATTTTAGTGAAATTTTCCAGTGTCAATATTGTAGCGACTATCTTGGTTACTATGCGTTGACTTTGTAAACAGCGGTCGTTACTAGGTAACGCACGCAACAACAGAAAAACGGGGTTGTACAAACCGTTTCTAAACAACGGATCGCTATACACGCCTACAACAACATCAGTATTGTTGTAAAAATTGTTTTCTATTACGTTAGTGGAGAATCTGCAGTTGGTCCCTTATACCCGTGTGGAGGCGGGGTCGAATACCTCCACCGTGACCCTGCGAGTCGTAGGAGGCGACGAAAAGGGAAGTCTGAAATCTGAGACAGTAAAATATGGTCGAGAGACCCAAGGGTCTCAGACCCGAGGAAGACTGCGCTGGCAAGGACCAGCAGCATATATAAAAGACAGGCCCGTCCTCTCGTCAGAGAGGGCGCCCCCAAAACAAGACCGTAACTGTCAAGCAGTAATAAATATCTGGTAATGAGCCCCAGATGGGGCTCGACACCAAGACTTACTGACTCACTGACCATCAGTCGCAATGTGACTTTGACCTTGAATCGGCAGTGGGTCCCTTATACCTGTGAGAGGCGGGGTCGAATACCTCGACCGTGACCCTGCGAGTCGTAGAAGGCAATGAAAAGGGAAGTCTCAAATCTGAGACAGTAAAATATGGTCGCGAGTCCCAAGGGACTCGGACCCGAGAGAGACTGCGCTGACAAGGACCAGCAGCATGTACAAAGACAGATCCGTCCTCTCGTTAGAGAGGGCGCCCCACAAAAAAAGACCGTCACCGTCAAAAAGTAATGGATATCTAGTCATGAGCCCCAAATGGGGCTGAACACCAAGACTTTCTGACTGACTGATCGTCAGTCGCAATGTGACTTTGACTTTGACTTAGAACTGAATTGTCAGTCGAGTTCCGGAGTTCGAAGTGAGCAGTTAGTCGAGAGTTAGGCTCTGTAAGGGAGCCTCAGAAGATGGCGCTATGAGTTCAGATGTGGAACGTTAACCAGCGGGCAACGGCGTGACCACGGAAGCTGAAGAATCTCAACTGTTAAGATTCGTTACCAGGAAACGGTTAATGAAAACATTTCAATGGAATAGCCATTGTTGAGAGCTGTTACCAAGCAACGACTGGTGAAAGCAGACAAAGAAGACTAAGAGTAAAGTGATTTGTAGTGTGGAAATCAGCAATAATGTTACAATTACTTGTAGTTCCGAACTGTATATGCAAGTGGTCAGTAAATCCATTCGCCAATCCATACCCCGTCTATAGTCATAGACCCAAAATACATGACAATATAAATTTTGAGGTATTCACTGGCAGTTGTGGCACCGTGTAAATGTGAGGGCTAATTTATACAATTCATAAGAATATATTAGCCTCAACTTTAAACCTGAAGACGGAGGTAGCGTATTCCTCCGAAATGTCAGGTTGTCCGCCCACAAAATTACACGGTGTCACAGCCCATAAGATCCTAGTGTTAGTCTCAGGTATTACAGTATATCTGATAGGCTAATCCTTCAGCTGTTCTCCAACTTTTACATCGGAACAGACCGATGCATTTATCTTGACAGTTTATACAACAAGGGACCCACAGTAGCAGTACATCAGCGAGGGACAACCTCATTTCACTATAGGATTTCAGTTACAGGTCACGAAAGCTGACCTAATGACCTAATTGTATACAATAACAGGTCTCACCCGCCTTACCAGGCAGTTTAAAAAGGAAAATGGAACGTGAAATATTCGTACGTGCGTACTATAAACGCGTAAAGGAGAGGTCTACATAGCAGTCAAGTCCGTAATTTCTGCCTCCGAAATTATTGAAAGGATTTCGATTAAACTTAGAACAGGAGGCCTAAGCTGAAAGTTGTTGGGTGAAATTAATTCTGGTAGGCATCTGTGACGTATAATTTTTTATTTACATGGCAATTGAATTGCATCAGTTTTCTCAAACATTGCTGATATAAACAACAGTTGTTACAACACAAATATAAATCTTACTATTATGTAGCTCTTATTCTAGAAGATATATCTACATTGTTACTGGCGCCGGCGTCGTTTCAGACCCACTACTTCTCAGAAAATCTTGTAGCGCCTGGAATCGAACCCGGACCTCTGAATCTGTAGCGAGGAACTCTGACCACTAGACCACAGAGACGGTCCTTGAGAGTGTATAAAAATTAAAGATCTTTAGTTTTGAAACTTTTAGTGTTAGTTGCACGCCAGACAGCAGTGAATGCATTAAAATAAAATGAAATGGTGTTAGAACCGAACAAGTATTTTAATAATGTAAATAAAATGGCGGAAAACGAGAGAGAGAAAATAGACACACACGTAGTCAGTATGGAGGACAATAGAGTTACGACGAAACTGGCAACAAAATACAAACCCCCATGGAAGAAGAGAATTGGAACGATCGAGGAAAATACGGAAAGATCAACATAAGATGTTAAAATATTTGTTACCTTAATAAGTAAAACAGAATAAGATGCTTCCTCCTGTAAAACGTCAAAAACACGAAAACAAAATAATTGCCTCTCTCTAATATTCGCGACAAACATGAACGTCTGTTTCTTTCTGCCAGCAATTCGCGAGTCGTAGCGTCGGTTTAGTGCGTACATAACCTCGGTTACAGCTAACTGCATTAGCAGACTCTTAAAGGTGAAAATTCACGCAGATCTTCAAGAAATTGTGAGTATGTTATGGATCCCGAAGAATCAGCCTGATTTCACCTCTTGTTTTGTATGAGTATGAAACTTGGCTCTCACATTATTGTAATAAAATTATTACTGTATGATTTGAGATTCTCAGTGCCGTGATTACGAAGAGTTTTGTCGTCTGAGACATAACGTCATGTAGTACATTATGAGTCGACAGACGTTTCGGAGGAACATGATGCTTGACTTTCAGCGGACTGTATTACAGAAGATAAAACTCTTCAGAATTACTATCTCTATTATATAGCACAAGGAGTCTGGATAGCTCAGTCGGTATAGTGACAGGTACGCGCTAGGCTGCCCGTGCTCGTCGTGTGAAGCTGACCACTCATTTTGAACTAGTGCTGAGATCAAGATTGGTGGAGCTATACCTCCACTCCTCGATAAGATTTCATAGCATAGTGCTTAACTAATTAAGTACAAGGAAAGATTTAACTTTTATTATGTAGCAAAAGGGTGAGTGATAGATCCTTGCAAATATTTCGGAAACCAAGATAACAGTCATGAATGAGCTGACACCGCACTAGACTCTTGAAATGGCTGTGGCCGTTCAGGGCAGAACCTTGTTTTCTCCTATCTTCTCTATGGAAATAAAACTCTTGAAATACACAGAAGTACACAGTGATGCTAAATTATTGTCGGAGTTTCCCTTTATAGGCCACGGCAACCCCGACAACAATTCAGAATCACCCTGTATAATTTTTCTTCGTGTTCAGTATTCGCGTGAAGCTTGCAATCTCACATCAAGGAAGAACAGACTGAGGGCGTTTGGGTGGAGGGTGCTGAGGGGAATATATAGATCTAAGAGAGATGGAATAACAGAAAAATGTGTAACATTGCATATACATTACCTTCATAATTCATTGTCTGCACCAAATATTAGAACAATCAAATCAAATAAGATTTGATAGGAATGATAAGTAGCACGCATAAGAGAGAAGTGTATAAAACGTGTGGTAGAAAAACGTGAAGGAGTTAGATCACTTATGAAGACCGAGATCCTTATAGGAGAATAATATTGAAGTGGGTATTAAAGGAAATAAGATGACAATTTTAGACTGGATTAATCTGGCTCAGGATTTAGACCACTAATGTGAGATGGTAATGAACTTACCATAAAATACTACGAGTTTCTTCGGTAGCTGAGCAAATATTAGCTTATCAAAACGGTTCCCTCTCTATGAAATTTCTTTTTTTTTTTCTTACCAACTCCATACCTATTATCCTTGATATGCTGAAAGGTCACGGTGTCAGCCCTAGGTTTGGGCATTATCTGCGCGTGTACCACAGAAAACCTACTTTTCAATTTTATCCAATTTATTCTTCCAGTCACCAAAACATCCACGGGCTCCGGAAACTGTCTTTATGTTGTATTGATCTCCTTCCAGCCATTCATGACGCTGGACCAGTCGCATCCACCAATCCGGTGACGCTGTGAGGAGAACGTCACGCCACGTCACTGTTCCCCAGACACGACCACTATCAAACAGACTGCCATGAACCATGGTTCACGAAATGAGCTTCACAGCAGCCATCGATTTGTCAGTCCCAATGTTAACTCTTAGTTTCAGCGTGGAACAAACATTATCTTGCAGTCTTCAGAGACGCTAACAGTTTCCCAGCGACTCTGCTGATTTCCGGCGTTGTAGAGAAAATAAAGTTTCGTAAGAGACCATCACTGGGAAGACCAAGGCGTAGGTGGGTGGACAATATTAAAATGGATCTTAGAGAGATAGGATGGGATGGTATGGATTGGATCGATCTGGCTCAGGATAAGGACCAGTGGAGGGCTCTTGTGAACATGGTAATGAACCTACGGGTACCATAAAATGCTGGGAAATTCTTGAGTAGCTGCAGAATTGGCTGCCACTCAAGAATGGCTCACCTCCATGGTAAGTAAGTAAGTAAGAGCCCATCACTGGTCAAAATCCTCAGCCAGATTAATCCAGTCCACACTCTCCCTTCCTATTAATTTAAAGTTCATTTTATACTCCTCGATCTTCCAAGTAAAATTTTCCTTCATATTTTTCTACCAAAAATCTCTGTACATTTTCTTTCTTATTTGTGCGTGCTGCATGTGCAAACTATCTTCATTTGCCTCTGTGGTCTAGTGGTCAGGGTTCTTGGCTACACATCCAGAGGTTCCGGGTTCGATTCCCGGCGCTACAAGATTTTCTGAGAAGTAATGGGTCTGGAACGGGGTCCACTCAGCCTCGTGAGGATAACTGAGGAGCTGTTTAAATGAAATAGCGGCTCTGGTCTAGAAAACCGAAATTAACGGTCGTGGGGATTCGTTGCGCTGACCACGCGAAACCCTCTAGCCGCTAAAGTTGGCACTAACTTCTCCGAAAATCGGCGGTCGCTCGTTCGGTACAGTTCTCTTGCGGACTAAAACCACGGAGTTTTTTTTTTTAGTTTCTTTGCGGTGGGTGACACTTGCGTCCAGCCCCAAATGACAGATGATAGTGACTGTGGAGCAGTCGGTGGAATGAAAACTGGCAAGGGAAACCGAAATACTCGTAGAGAACCTGCCCCAGCCCTATTTTGTCCACCACAAATCTCACATGTCCTGATCTGGGCTCGAACCCGGGCCTCCGCTGTGGGAAGCCGGCGACTAACCGCCTGAGCTATGGCACGGCCATAGTTGACCACAGTAAGTTCATACTTTTATCGACGGACGTATTTACATCTATTTCATCCTCCTTGATCTGGTCAATGTCGTTGATCACCATCTCTAAACGCTGACAAGTATACAGTCCTTCTATTTAGACCTGGTCGCTCACAACAGAATGCGCAGTGGACTTGATCAAGTTCACTGAAGTAGGGCGCATGCGCCGTTACCTTGCTCTCAAACAGGGATACATGTTTCTCGGTCAACAGCTGTATCACACATCGAAAGAGATTATAGCTACAGTCCGTCTATTTAGACCTGACCGCTATCAACAGAATGCGCAGTGGACTTGATCGAGTTCACTGAAGTAAGGATTGTAGGGCGCATGCGCCGTTACCTTGCTGTCAAACAGGGTTACATGTTTCTCCCAACAGCTGTATCACACATCGAAAGAGATTATAGCTACAGTCCGCATATTTAGACGTGGCCGCTCTCAACAGAACGCGCAAGAGACTTCATCGAGTCCACTGACTGAGATAAGGCTTGTTGGATATGTATGACTTAGAACAGGACCTTAGTTACAGTGAATCACCCTCTTTCCCTCCCACAGTGTAGCTGCAACCACTGTTCCATTACTTATTTTCTTACTTTTCACGCGCAACCAATAGGCTAAATCTGAAAAACGCGGTCTGTACATAAAGACAGCATAGGAAACCACAACTTCGTACGTCCCCCTCCCACCCCAATTGATCTTCCAGTCCATTCAGGGCCCAGGCCTCTTATTCAGTTCCGTAATATTTTTCACACACGGTAGGATTCCTTGGACGAGTGATCAGCTGTTTGTAAGGCCTCTACCTAAACACAGGACAACACAAACACAGAATACACACATTCACACACCAAAAATCCATGCCTTAAATGGGATTCTAACCCACGATCCCAGCGTCCGAGCGGGCGAAGGCAGTTCGTGTCTTAGATCGCGCGGCTACTGTGACTGACAACTGTGTACGTTGTACATGAATACTCATACCTGGGCCGCGCCATAGCTCAAGCGGTTAGTCGCTGACTTCCCACTGCGGCGGCCCGTGTTCGATCCCGGGGTCTGGTGAAGTGGGATTTGTGGTGGACAAAGTTTTCTCCGAGTACTTCGGTTTCCCCTGCCAATCTTCATTCCACCAAATTCTCCATCATCATAATCACCCTGAACAGGCTACAACAGGCCAGTCAGTGGCCGCCGTGACGAGTGGACGCAGTTGGACTCCACCCCCCACTAAGCGAATTAAAAAAAATGCAATTTTACTCGTACTTGCAGGATAGATACATAGATATACTTACGGACTGTGCTCCATACATAGATATGCTTACGGACTGTGCTCCATACATAGATATACTTACGGACTGTGCTCCATTCTTCACACTTCTGCCAGGGTAGAACGCTGTTGAAGGACGCGAACATGTAAAACAGGGTCCACGCAATGATTAAATTGTAATACAGCATCACAATGGCAGACACGATGACCATGCCATAGCCTAGACCTTGAAATAAAGGGCAGAATTTCTTGTAGATTGCTACAGGACCCAGATTCGCATACTGGCCGAAGGATAATTCCATAAACATGAGTGGCAATCCGGCTATCACAAGCATTATTGTAAATGGGATGAGAAATGCACCTGAAAAAAAAAAGAAAACACAATTATATATACTGTTACATGGTATGCCGCGTCATAGCTCAAACAGTTAGTCGCTGGCTTCCCACCGCGGCGGCCAGGGTTCGATCCCGGGTCTGGTTAAGTGGGATTTGTGGTGGACAAATTGGCGCTGGGGCAGGTTTTCTCTGAGTACTTCGGTTTCCCCTGCTAATCTTCATTCCACCAATTGCTCCACAATCACCCTCACCTATCATCTGGGGCTGGTACAATAGGCCAGAAGTGGCCGCAGTACAGGGGACTGAGTCCCACTCCACTAGCAATAAGAAAAATACTGTTACATGGGCACCAGTAGGATTTGCCTACGTTTGGGGGGTGGGTGCGGGAAAATGTGTTTACAAAATTTCGCTTAAGATTAATTTTACTGATGGCCGTATGACAGGTGTTCTTAAACTGTGTCACTACTCCCTAAAACAATGTATCATTTTACTCAACTCTTGTCGATCTTCGTCAGTCAACGAAGAATACCGTTCTGCACACTGTTGCAGGACCCTATCAGTCTGTACGGTGACAGCAGGAACATAAATAGCTTTACAGCCTCCCTACACCTACAGTAAGCTATAAAATGTTCCTGTACAGTCACGAAAAGTGCAGTTCTGCACACTGTTGCAGGTCCCTCTCAGGCTGTACTGTGACAGCAGGAACCTAAACAGCTTTACAGCCTGTCTACACCTACAGCAAGCTATAAAATGTACCTGTACAGTTACGAAAAGTGCAGTTCTGCACACTGTTGCAGGTCCCTCTCAGGCTGTACTGTGACAGCAGGAACCTAAATAGCTTTACAACCTCCCTACACCTACAGTAAGCTATAAAATGTTCCTGTACAGTCACGAAAAGTGCAGTTTTGCGACCCACGGTTTTAAAAGTCATATCCGAAAATATTCAAGACAGAAGAATGTATATATTACATTAATTTTTTATTAATATTTGGTAAAATTCTTTCGTTTTTCAATTTTGAAATTTAAATCAAGGGTTGGAGGTAGGAATATCCTTAGTTTGCCCCCTCCTCTGCCGGGGTCCGTGTGTTGTTAGGAACACTAGTTGCAGTAGCTGTATGAAGCAACAGAACAGTTAAGTTGAGCGGTAATTCTTCTGACATATTCTGAAAGCGCAGGAAGTCGGGATATCTCAGTCGGTATAGCGACTGGCTACGAGCTGGACGACTGCGGGGTTAGAGTTTGAGTCCCGGTGGGGGTAAAAATTTTCTCTTCTCCAAGTCGTCCAGACTGGCTCTGGGGTCCACCCAACCTCCTATCCAATGTGTATGGGGATCTCCTTCCCAAGGGGCAAAGCGGCAGGGGCTTGAAGCTGACCACTCAACTCCAACTAATGCAGAGGTCAAGAAAATATGAATGTATACATCCACTTCCCCATACGCCTTCATGGCGTAGTGCTTAATTAGTTAAGCACAGGGACAACTTTACCTTTTTTTAGCTTTAGCCGGTTGATATTTCGGCTGGGACGCTGTCTATGTAACCGAAATTTTTCGTGGCATCTCTTAGTTCTTCCCGCCAAATTCCATAGCAGTACTGCAAATTAGAACATGACTGCTTCCTTCCACATCCCTTGCAATTGATTGTCTGCAGAATGCCCTACCATTCGCCGCTGTTTACTCTGAATACTGACATCATCATAAAATAAATCATGAACAGATAACTTTATGGAGCCGAGTCCTTCCTGATATTCGACGCTCAGGTAATCAAGAAATTCTGTGGAACACGAAGGATCAGTACACTGTTCATAAAAGCCCACTAATAGTTTTTACCCTTAGCCACACTAATCCGGCACCGTCCCTCATTTTATTTATTTAAGGTCTCTTTTAATATTATCTCCATATTTATTTATAGGTTTTCTAAATGATCTCTTCCATTCTGGGTTTCAACTAAAATTTTGTATGCACGTCTCATTTCAGACTGAGACTTCACGTGCTTCTTGCTTTATGAGTGAAACTTCGCGCAACCTTTGTTCTCAGAGTGAAACTTGCCATTCTTGTCAATGGCGACTTCATTCTTGCACATATTAAACTCCTCCTTATCATACAATGTATCCACGACAAGATATAGAGGCTTTTTCGTTCTGAAAATATTCTATTCGTCGCACACACAGGAAATGTTTTGCAAAAGAAAGTTTTCAAAATTATTTTTAGGACCCTTCAATCTGTGTTTGGTAATGTTTGAAACGTACTTTGCCTTCCCCCCACTATACGGCTTCACACACCCCGGTTAAGAACCGCTGAAGTAGGTGGAGTTAACGAGAAAATGTGATTGAGTAGGTGGGTATGGAGAAGTTCGCGTAGGAAGACAGACAGGAAACTGATGAGATGCGGTGGGCTTGGTAACAAACTCGGTAAATGAACTTAACGCATACAAATACACCCACAAACTCACATCTGAATGGGGCCACGCTCCATATATCTGTAACAAAGTGAACAAACTAAATGTCTCAGAACATGAGAAACCGAAAACCCACATACGTCGTCCATGGAAGAAGAGCGCAACTCACCAAAGAACAATCAGTCAAGGAAGTCCTTCCCCGATCCATGGATTGGTGGAGTACGGGCCATTGCCTGGCCCGTCCCGTCACCTGACTTGACTGCGACATGCTCTCCCGTGCGGGGCGACAGCAGAGGTGAATCATCTCTTACCACAGACCCATTATGAACGTCTAGGGCAGTTTTCACAGACGTTGCCACGTTAAGCTAGGAGCGTTTCGCGAGGACACCACGTAAACATTTGAGTGAGTGGAAAATTCAAAGGGAAAATTATCTAATACAGTGTTGGATATGAGGTCCTCACATAGGTGAATGTGAGGAATTTTGGCTTATTCGTTGATTTTCGGTGGAAAATACTGCTTCCATCTTCGTTGCTGTTCAATTCTTTTTCGTTATTTGATCGGTTTACTCTTCAGCTCCTGAAGACTGTGGAGTCTTGTTCCTCCGAAACATAAGTATTGGACTACACAACATCAAATCCCAAAAGACAGTAAACTCTTTACAATTAATTATTTTCATAATTATAACTATATATATAAAAAGGTAAAGGTATCCCTGTAACAGACCTTGGAGGCCCATCGGGTTGTGAGACGTCGAGGCTCCCACATTTTATAGACAATCCGCTCGCAGATAGTGGGTGAGGTTGTCAGCCTTACTCGCCGGCTGCCCTTTACCCCATGAAGATTCCTGGTGCTCATTTCTGTTATAGGCTGAGTGGAATTCAGAGACATAGTGCGGCTGGAATAATTAGGTCAATTGAAATATCCAATGACGTCATCGGGAATCGAACACTACCGATCCCATTGTTTGCGCGGCCTAGACGCGTAATGTCTTCTACCGAAAACTGGGCTTTTGGGTTCGAATCCTTCTCTGGTCACGGAAGTCTGTCCGAGCTTCCTCTTTTGTTTTTGTGTTATGCTGGGTACGAAGAAGCATGCAACGGGCCTGCTCTCTGCCGAAGGAATCCTACCAAATGTCTGCATGTCTACAATGGGAGGTCCTCGCCCCATTTTCTGTCATGTCCTACAGGAAGAGAGAGACCTGAGAGCATGTTGCTGAGTTTGTGAAAGAGACAGTTGTGACGTAACCACTTTATTAGAAACCTGTATCAGGCCCCTTTCCATTCAACTTGATGTTTGCCTCTGTGTGCACCGGAAGTGGAATGTCTTTTGTTGAAGCATTTGCACCTACGTCCACATCCGGTCATATATTTCCCTTATCTCAGGAAAATTATTTATTAGGATGAAACAGCTCTGTTTTCTATCTGTGATATTTGCGGATGGATCATAAGTAAATTTGGTAAGTAAAAGTATCCCTGTAACAGGCCGTCGAGGCCCATAGGGTTGTGAGACGTCGAGGTTCCCACATTTTCTAGACAATCGGCTAACAGATGGCGGTGATGTTGTCAGCCTTACGCACCGGCTGCCCTTTACCCCCAGAAAGATTCCTGGTACTCATTTCTGTTAGAGGCTGAGTCGACCCCAGGGCCGTATTCCGGTTAGAAGAATTAGGTCAATTGAAAAAATCCACCTTGTCGAGATTCGATCCCGCGACCTTCCGGCTTGTAGCATAGTGCCTCAACTACGCTACCGCGTGCCTAAGTAAATATGTTATACATTTTTATTAAGTTTCATATTTTACGCTGCTCTCACTAACAGGATTATGTAGGGTGGATAAAAAGGACATTAATGAGAGTCGAGCAGTCGGTGGAATGAGAAACCTGCCCCGGTGCCACTTTGTGCACCACAAATCCTACATAACCTGACCTTTAATTGAACTCGAGTCGCCCCTCTGGGGCATGACCAACATACGCCAAAGGTTCATTTATAACTACCACGCTAAGACGACGTATGGGGGAGTGGAAATATAGCTCCAGGGAATCGGTATCTATTATTGATATTTGTAATGGTGGACCCTGGGCACGGCACCCTGGTTTCGATCCCAGGTAAGATCATTTCGAAATGTGTGATGTAGAAAGTTTCACCGCATACCCCGGTTTCCGCTGTTAATGGGATGAAAATTACGTTTCTGAAGAAGTTTAGAGCAGATTCGTTTGAAGCAGTGGTTGAACGCAGCTCAGAAACCGCCCATTCCCTGTCTGCTGTCAACAAATATTGCAGAAGCGGAGATACTGTACAGGAAGCAAAGATGTATTTATGAAGTAAAATTGTGAATAATCATTAGAAATCCACTGTCAATAATCTTAGTTATTGCCTTATGACATGAAAAAAATTTATTCTCATAAGTGGTATTTTTGACATAGACTGAGGGTGTTGGAGTACAGGGTGTTGAGGAGAATATTTGGACCGAAAGGAGATGAAGTGACAGGAAGTTGGAGAAAGCTGCATAATGAGGAGCTTCATAACTTGTACTCTTCTCCAAGTATAATCAGAATGATCAAATCAAGGAGGATGAGATGGGCAGGACACGTAGCACGAATGGGGAGAAGAGGAATACATATGGGATATTGGTG